TTTAGGCCGCGAAGCGACCGAGCGAGGTACGATTTCGCTAGTAATAAATTCTAGACATTCTATCTTTTTTACTGTAAATCAAGAAACCAACACCAGCATGTCGCCCGGCTGGGCGTCCTGGACAATATTTTCAGTCGCCCGAGGGCAAGTCTTGCGCCCTTAGAGCACACTCCTTGAGTCTTTGTCCTCATCTACGCAGTAAGTTAACTTTTCCCTTCTTTGCTGACGAAGTATCTTTTTTCTGCTTGTGCAATCCAACCTGACTTGCACGTGATTCAAAGTTGCAGCCAATAAAAAATCACACAATTTTTCGGGACGGGCACTGGATGCGGGAAAGTTAAAAAAACAAGGCAATTTTTGACTCCCAAGAATACGAAAGGAATGTACTCCCGAATTTAAGACGCTGACTGACTACGTCATCCCGCGTAATAAGGTTGTTTCGCTACTGCCCGGCCGTCACCAAAGGGTTAAGGGTCAGTTTAAGCTTGAGCGACACCCACATTGGCCCCACTCGGGGGTTTCATTTTAATTTTCTGACGAGCATCCCCTTCAGCTTTTATATAGGAGTCATCTCGGGGATTACCCACAACATCGGCATATAAACTCGGACGATTTTGGCGGCCACCTCGTTCTTCGCATAGAGGACCAAGAAAATAGTAACAAGGACGGGGTGTAATTGGTTTGGAGATTGCGAAGATCGTATACCATCTATTTTAAAGGATGGGATCACGTACGTGTAAAATCGCAAAATCATTTCTAATATCTTTATCACTAGTTCCTTTAATATTTGTGATAAGATAACAAGTAGGCGGGGAATCAAACAGCTAGGGGTTTCTTTTGGTTCTATTTTTCTTTTATTTCCTTTGAAAATAGCCGGGGCCCATTGTAGCCGGGGGAAACCCCGGGCCCCCGCCTCTTAATGACAGCCCTGAAATATTTGTGATAAGATAACGACAAACGGTTCGATGAGTGTAAATTGTTGTAATCGTAATTTCAAGTTCAGAAATTGATAAACTCAGTAGTCCACTATTGAGAAGTGAGAATCCAAACATAATGAAGTGATGGATAAAAGTAGGAAGCGGCTTTAAGTAATATCCTGATATTAATCCCTGTTGCACTAAGTTTACTTAGCTAATGTCTTGCGCATTTGATATCAGTTATGAGCTGACGGATTTGAATATCACAAGATACACGCGTTAAACAGAAAGTGATAAGCGTATCCTTTGCAATATCTTAACCTTGTGGAGTCGAAGTTAAATTGCAAGTCAAAATCATGATTACAAACCCCCTAGTCATATTACTAAGAGCACTCAGTTGTTTGGTACCATGAAGAATTCACCGACAGAATTGTCTATTTTTCTGAAAGCCCAACGTAGACAAGTACCTCTGAATTCGCACAATCAGTAGAGGTGAGAACTGACGGGAAGCCTGAATCCGGCCTCGTCGAAGGTTTTTCCAGTATGAACATTTCTCTGGGTCGAGGTCCCCACACTGCTTTCACGTCTTGTTAATTAGCGGGTTATTACCCCTGTTCTTACAGATGCTTGTATTCTGCTATGTTAGTGATGTAAAAAATACATACGTCTGAACAACATCTGACGGATCTAGGATCAAATACTTTAAAAATGGCCCTTGGACCCTCCGTGTGCCATCCAAACTCAAATTAATATATAGATTTAGCCTGGGCTAAAAGCGAAGCTCCTACGAACTCGAATTTATAATTTAAATCAAACAATTGTAAACTTGTATTCCACAAATCAGTTAACTTTAGAGCACATTCATGTGACTTTTGACGGAAAGTCTAAGTAATTTTAGAGAAAAATAATTTGCAAACAGTCCAAGCTAAGAGTGAATGAATTAATCTTATATCGACTTGATAGCCTTATATGTACACCTAAAAAATAGCATCGCCATAATGGTTCTTGATCACAGTACATTAGGAAAACAAATCAGGCCGAATTTTTTGCGTTCGATAAATTTACTTTACAAACTCTTGCCAACAAGTCTGGGGACGTGTAAACCAACCTTTTATACTTTTTATACATCACATCTGAGGTGAAATAGTACCATGAGGCGCTGAGAGAGACCTCGGACAGAATGCAGTATTTCACAATTTTGCAAATACAAATTGCAATCATTCAATATTCAGGACGATCGAAGCACGCGTTAGCGAAAGCGAGGCTTTTAGCGAAACCGTGAAAATCACCTATACGGCGAGCCGGTTCTCACTTTTGACAAGCGCCAAAGTCGACTGTTTAAATTAAGATTAACACAGTTCTACGCTTCAACATAATGGCTTTATAACGATGTGTAATCTTCAAAAGCGTTTGATAGACTCTGGAGGTGACATAAGATATGTGACTGTTCCAAGACAACGATTCGTCTACTATCACACCAACGTACATAAAGGATCTCTTCTGCTCTAGAATCGAATCACCGTAAAATATACGACACTAAACATCTCTGGCAGTTTTGACTGCCCTGTGTGATGTTATAACTATTGTCACCGTCTTTTTCGTGTTACGAATAAAGACCATTATTAGAGAACCACTGGTTAATGCTTTTGAGATCTTCTGCTATTCTGTACTCGGCCTTGTTAACGTCGTTGGAACTAAAATGAATCTCGGTATCGTCTGCAAATAGCGCAACATCAAAATTGTGACATGCTTTATAGATACGTTGTTTATATGGATATTAAACAAAGTTGGACCTAGGACCGATCCCTGATTCCAAACGGGAGAAGTCGAAGCTCAGAAGCGGAGTCTCTACATACAACAAATTCAGATCTGCCCAATAGGTGGCTATTAAACCGCAGAAGAGCGTTCCCTTTAATACCATAGGATTCAAGTTTGGCAAGCAGTATATCATCCTTGATGACATCAAACGCTTTTCTCAAGTCTAGAAAAACGCAAACAAACTTTGGACCATCGTCGATAGCGAACTTCTAAGAGTCTACTACTTTAAGCAATGTCACTGTCGTTGAAGAAAACTTGGAGTAGGCGAATTGATGCTGTTCTGCAAGACCCACCTCATGTGCAAAATTCGGAAGACGGTGTTAACAAAAGACTCCATGATCTTCGAAATACAGGGCAATACCGAAATAGGCCGATTATCATCACAATCGGTAGGTGAGCCTCCTTTGGACAGTGGTACTACCCTGGCTATTTTCCAGACAGACAGAAATAAACCAGTGCGAAGCGACTCACTGAAAAAGTAAAACACGGGAAGATCAATCTGAGTGGTTCTTTAACACGAAACTTGTATTTTCTCGGGTTTCAGGTCTTTTACCCCTGAGAAAAATTTTAAAATGCAACGAATAACATCTTTAGTTCAAGTTTCACTCAAGTGCTCTATGAAATATTTTTAGCCACAAACACATCGGTGAATCTGTGAATATTTCACAAACTTTCAAGTAGGCTTCTGTTATGTTATGGCCCAGCGTATTTACAGGTGAGATAATCGCAGATATCCCGAACATTTCCCCTTTTATTTTGTTCTGATATTGAACCTTTTCACTCCGTGTATAAAGCCTCCGCGAACAGCCCAGATAAACATGGCGAACAGCTGAATTCGAACTTCATGTAAGAACAAACGAAACGACTCCAAGGTCTGCTGTCCTCTTCTGCGACCGCTTGGAACTGGTCTGGTAAAACATTTTCCCTAGGGGTTCTCATTCCCGTTCTTTACTTTCCTTCGCGTTATTTTTCCCGTCCGTTTAGACTTTCCCTATTCCCCACTATCTGCCCCTGGGTCCTTCCTCCTTCCGTTTGCCCTACTGCAGGACAAATGTAAGGAAACTTTCACTTCGTTTTCAAGGGCCTAAAATATTTAATTCCCTTTACCTCTGAAATTCAGAATACCTCTAGTATTGCTGTGTTCACTCTAAACTAAAGTTATTTTTTTGGTACAAGCACACTTTAGTTCTCTTAATGCCTGTGTGTAGTTTTTCACTTCTTTCGCTTTTTGTGTTTGCATATTCTTGCATTATATTTTCTCACTTTTTCGTTTTCGTGTTTGCACTTGCACGTTCAGCCCTATCTATTTTTGTGCTATTTAATGATTATTTTCCATCTTCTAAGGAAATTGTATGTGCTTAGTAAAATAGTCTTGCCAATGCCAGTATTTCATTTATTAATTAACTAAAAGTAATATATTTTTAAAGGTTGTCCTATTCATAAGCCTTATTGGCTTCCTTGGGTTCCCTTGCCTCTTTTTTTGTTTAAATTTACTGTATATATTTAACTTGTATGTCAAGATGATAATAAAACAACAAGAAAACAACAAGAAATGGGTTTCCGAGGACATTAAGAACGCTCAGTTGAGTAAATGACAACAAAAATCAGCTGGACATACTGTTGGTTTGCAGGACTAAGGCAACTAATGAGCAGGTGATTGAACATTTGCGAATTCCCTATGATGAATCGAAAATCTTACGCTGTCTCTAGATCCCAACTCAATAAGTATGGAATAAGAAACATTCTTTTACTCTTCATTTAAAACGACCATTTTTTCTATTCAGTTAGATTTAAATAAACAACCCGTTCGACCACACCCTCAGTGTGTTGAAATAAGCGTACGTTAAAGCTTACACAGAGGGTGGAGCCCCCTATTTAAGGTAACACTGGGGCAAAGAACAGAGGACTTCGTTATATCGAGGTTTGACTGTAGAGCTCTTGTTTCCCTCCACAAAAAGTTGGCCTTGACTTTCCGTCAAAAAATAATTGTTCATGTAATGATATGTAGAAAAAGAAACTGCCTGGATAAAACACGAGATCCAGTAAAGGATTCTTACGTTCCAAACTACCTTTACAGTCTCAAATGAATTTCCTAAAGCTTTGCTTAGTCTCCCATTCTTTTGGGTACAAATCTCGTTAGCCGTCGTGAATAAGAATTATGATGTAATTATTGGAGTCGTGTTAGTGCTGGATTGTAGATTTAGAACACGCGTAGAAAAGCATTGTTTTTATATATATATATATATTTTCAGGCAATTGTACATAATGAAGTCACTGAGAGCACAGCTCCTTGCCGTTTTTCTTATCACCATTGTGACCCAGATTGTGGCCGATTTTGACGAACGACAATGCTTCTTGCGACAGAACAGGACGTGTTATCAGTATTCAATCACAAGAAGGCAAAGTATGATGTGCTCTGTAACTGGCAGGATATTCAAACAGTGCCAGCAGATCTGCAATGCGGGAAATTGCAGTCTCACCTGCTCTTCGCCAGAGACGTGCAAGCAGCAATGTTTTGCAAGCCTCTGCGAGTCTTTAAGCTGCAATGCAAAGACCTGCGATCAGTATTGTATACGTGGGCGTTGTAATATGATTTGTACTTCCGAAGAATGCAGGCAGACGTGTGATGTCAGTGGATGTGAGATGAAGTGTCCCGAGAATGCCAAGCGCTGTATACAAAAATGCAGTCGAGGAAACTGTAAGATGCATTGTCCCGCAGGAGTGCAATATTGTCAGCAGATATGCGAATTGGGAAGATGTACAATGTTCTGTGATGGAAAAGAATGTGCTCGCATATGTCGGAAAAGCAACTGCATTTACAGTGCTCAACCTGAAAATGTAACTGCGTTGGTTGTGGAATCAACCTGCAATCGAGCTGTAGCTCACAAAGAGAACATATGCTATCAAAACTGTATCAAGGGAGACTGTGCGCTGGAAACCGTGAAGAACTATTCCATGCAGAGTCAGGGATGCTACGGAGGAAATTGTAACATGAGCTGCAGTGCAAAGGAAAAGTGCAGCCAAGTTTGCGTAGGAAGAAAATGTCAGCTCATCACCTGCACGTCAGACGTTTGTATCCAAGAATGTGTTGCTGGCGGCTGTCACATGGAATGTTATTCAAGGATCTGCACCCAGATTTGTAGAGGAGGAAATTGCAAGATGGGCTGCTTATCTTCGTACTCAAAACTCTGTTACCAGACCTGTGTTGGAGGTGGTTGTGTAACATCGTGTGAAGGTGAAAATTGTAACCCCAGATGCTTTGGCGGGAAATGCAGACATTCAGTGTATCAGCCTCCAGGTATAACGACAAAAGCAACTTGCGACAAGATTTCGGATGACACTTGCGTCCAAACGTGCAGATCAAAAACTGGTTGTGCGTTGGCGAACAGGCCGTCCAACCCAGTACAAATTTCTAATCAGACTTGCACGAATGGTTTTTGTTTTCTGAACTGCACTGGGTCAGATATTTGTAATCAGAAGTGCTCTGGTAAGAAGTGCTACACGGTCTCATGCAATGCAAGAGAGTGCGTGCAAGTTTGCAACGGAGAGGATTGCGGTTTGATCGAATGTGATGCAGACACTTGCACGCAGACGTGCTTTGGTTGGGGGTGCCACCTTAAGTGCCATCCGTCTGTCCAGGTCTGTAACCAGATTTGCTTAGCCGAGAAAGGAAGATGCTTTCAAGAGTGTTGGGCACAAGAATGTACCTTGACCTTGCTGTAACTTCATGGTACCATCCAGTCGGTCTCAAAAAGGAATTTTGCTTTGCATGTGTATAAGTTGATCTTTTTAGTTGCAAGTTGAGGTTACAGGAAATATATTACCAAATGTTGCTGTCTGTGATTATAGTGTGTATAAGTTAATTACAAGCAAAAAGTGAACGCGACTTCGACTTACTCCGGTTAGATTATGAGAAAGCTACCTCAGTGAACAGGAGGGGCGGTTTTTACCTGCTTCCTGCGGGCTAATTCTGATACGTTACCAGTAAAGGAATATTGCATTGTAGTGAGAGCCTTTAAGCATGGTACTGCGTAGAATTCTAGAACTCCTCACATTAGATAGTCGCGTTTCGCTGCATGGGAAAAGCTTCGACCAGCATAAAACAAAATGAATAATTCCAACAGTCGAATCACGCCTTATAAGCTCCTCACTTACAGGTAGTCATCTGCAATATGAACGCTTTTGGAATGCGAACGCTCTTGATTGGCTTCTAGGATTAGCTTATAGGATTAAGGTGGTTGACTGCATTTGCGTGCCGAGATGTCCGTCACGCAAAGCACCTTTGCTCCCTTGACGATGAAAACGACTTCTATTAACTCTACTAAAAGTTGTGTTTACTACAGTTTATTTCTCACTTATTTCAGTGTACGCTGATTTGGGACCACATCTATTACTCAAGATTCGTAATGTGCTACAGTAATCTTGATCCCAAGAATTATGAAGTCATGCTTTAAAAGAAGTTTTCTTGCTCATCACCATGACGGTGAAGAGATGAAAAACAAAACAGAATCCTCCCTTCAAATTCGACGTTTTTAGGGGACGATTGCAATGAGAACAATAACGTTACATAAAGTAAGCTAGGAACAGTTATATGGTATATTAAAATCTCTATAAGTTTACGTTAAGTCAAACAGACGAAATAGTGATAAAGGCATCTTTTTAAAACATGATATCTATCACCGTTGCTATGGTTACGTAATAAATCGCGCTCTTCGCAATAAAAAATATTAATTGAAATGGTTTGGTATTTCATTCTTTATTATTATTATTACTATATAATAAATGGAATATTACATGGCTGCTTGGAGGTAGGAAATTTGTCTTCTCGTGTTTAAAAGTATTTGACTCATACGCTTCGTTCACTCGTTAATGAAATAAAAGTTTGACATACCAAAAGAAATTCGTATCTCTAAACGGCCATGTACTTTCCTCTAAGCATTGGACCATTTTGACCATTTTGTGACTGGAATAGATACACATTGATCACCAAAATACCTAACCCTGTGAAGCAACTTTAGGGGTACAAAGGCCGAATTTGCCAAAACAGTATTTCAATATACAGCACTAGAAAAAGAACGCCACTTTTTCACAATATGGTATTAAATAAATGCCTTATTTTTCCGCACTCTCTGCACATTTTAACACTTCTTTTACCATGCTGAGGTTGTTTGGAGAGAATCCTTCGATACCCCGCCTTTGAATTTCACCTTCAAGTGACGCCAACACTGCATCACTTTTTACTCTTACTTTACGCAGAACTCTTAAGGTATTTCGATTGTAGAATCCGCTTTCCAAAAGCCATGAATAAGGCTTAGCTTCCCTGCTTAACTGATGCAAAAGATCATGAGGAAAAATAAGACGCGTCATAAATAAGACGCAAACTTCCCGTATAAACGGCACATTTCGTCTGAATTAAGGCACGTCCTAGCTAAGACGCGTCTTATCTAAAAACAGCCCTGAACACCTGTTCTTAGATGAGACGTGTTCTAGCTAAGACGAGAACAACGTCGTATAAAAGACCTCCCCGTCTTACGCACGCGTTAATTTTTGGCGGGAAAAATTTCACGTGCCCCGCCGCGGACTTGCAGAGAAAATGTTGTTTATAACACATTACAACGTGTTTACCTTTCCCTGGGCTGCCATCTACGAGAAATCAAAATGAGCATTCCGACAGAATGCAAGATAAACGTTAACTTTTGTCCGGTGCCGAAGAAAAGGACTCTTTGTAGCTTTGCGAAGATAAGCAAATTGCAGACCTCCTCGACAAATGTGTTACATCCGCTGCTGTAAGTAGAAGCTTTTTAATTTAAAGCGTTAGCAATGACAATAAATAAATAATTAGGCGCGAACCATTTATACGAGCTGATTTCGTCTTAGCTGAAACATTAATGGCTGCTATGAATGGTACAGTTTGCGTCTTATTTAGGACGCGTCTTATTTCTCGTCGTATAAATGGCCCTAAAAATATCATTGAAATGTCAGCACTCATGACTCGGGTGGATAAAAACCGAAGACCTAAAGCCCAACACCCAAAAAACGAAGACCCCCTCGAAATCACTTATAAATAGCTAGAAACGGCTATCTCGATCTGAGATGTGTAAGAAACAACAGGACCTTCACTTATCAATTAACTTGACCAGAGTCTTCGATTTCTATAACCCCACCCCCAAATGTAGAAAACGAAGAGTCCCCCCACCCCCCTCAAAAACACTAGAAAACGGCTTGAAACGGCTTCTAGACACTAGGGGTGCGTAAGAGACAACAAGATATTCAATTGTCAATAAATTTGACCAGGGCCTTCGTTTTTTACAGCCCCCCTCCCTAAATGTATAAAACGAGGACCCCCTCTCTTTAATAGAACGATATTCTTTTTTCTGTGCTGTGCCATTTCCGATGTTTATCACGTCACTTGGGTAGGATGCACAAGAGCCCGGAGTAGTCATTCGATAAAAATTGAATCGATCAATCGGTAGAAATCGATGACACACTCGTTTTGTTTATCTGATTTATCTAGATTTTGCCGATTCCATTAATTTATATCGGAAGAGACGTCTGTTCTTCTGTTCATCCAAAAATGAAAACTGATTTCATGCAAACAGTGATTTGTTGACAATTGAGTTGCAATTGAGAGTCGAAGGATCAAATAATTTATTATCACTTTATTTCAAAAAAAGTTTAAAAATTTTATCTTTTCTTTAAAACCCGCTTTAAAGTCTTCTTCTGATGTCCGATATTATGCACCTATCAATGTAAAGCCGGTGGTGGGGGGGGGGGGGGGAAGCAGGGCATGGCGTGGGGATTTGACATTTTTCAAAAATTTGCAGTCAAATTGCCTGCCCACGGGCAAATTATTCCAGTCAATTGCAACCAAATTTCCCCACCCCGGGCTGCACATTGCTGTCAAATGTCCCAAAGCAGAACCTAAGAAAGGCACAATAAAAATATCTCCAAATAAAACTCTCCAATCTTTATTTATAGTGCGTTGCTGCATCACCAAAGATACATGTTCCTGTTACAGCTGCAATTATACGTTTTAACCATAATCCGTGTTACACTGCGTAGAATACAGAAACCTTTAGGAGAAAGTCCACATTTTGTAAGTTTAAATATACCATTCTTAGTAAAGGGTACAAAGAAAGTAAGTTTTATAAGCTTACAGTCATTGCAACGAATGAGCATACACTGATCAATTGTACTTGCAAAAGTCGACTTGGTTGCTCTTTACTTCTGTTTACTTTGATACCACAGTATCTTACATTCAATTGATCAAAAATACGCTAAAACAAACGAAATTTGCAGACAAAACAGTGAAATCCACCCAGCTTTCGCTTGTTCTCGTTGGCCTCCATGATTTCCAGATCTTTCCAGACGGTACAGCGTATGCGTGAAGCGTGGAAGTGGGAAACATATGTTCGGTCTCAGTGTTTTTCATCTGCATCGGCAGTCAAATATTTCCACGATGGGCGAAGAAAGATTCAAATATCCCCTCCCCTAGGAGAACAAGATCAGTCAAATGCCCCACCCCAGGGCCAACAAAGACAATCAAATCCCCACCCCATGCCCTGCCCCCCCGCCGGCATAACATTGATAGGTGCATTAGCCAGGTTTGTATGCGCCCAGTTTTTTCACTACTTAGATCTGTCACCCTTTCAAAATAACATCAATTCCAAGCCAAGAGATAAAAAGCGAAATCGATAAAAATCGTTAGCGATCAAGTGATTTTATCGATTGATAGCGTAAAACGGTGAAAAGCTATCTAGGGAAATCTTTTAGCCTGAATTTCAGGCATCCCTTCGACTCTAGAGGATGTCTGAAATTCAGGCTGGGAAATGTTTTATGTAAGGTTGAATTTCTCGAGGTACTTTCCTGCGAGAACCAGCAAAATAATTAAACCGGATCGTTTTTGTTATTATGTACAAAAGGGTCAGGGTTTTAGAGCCGAATCTTGTGTCTGTAATAGTTTCCTCATTTCTTATTTTCATGTTTGTTGATCAGTTGTTACTGGTGGATGTGTTTTCTCAGTTGGACTATTTAACTTATGCCAAACAACAGCAATGTCGGACTTACCGTTAGAAATCGTTAAAATCACGAAAAATCGATCATATCGATGTGACACAGCAATTTAGTTGAAAGAGAACATTTTCTACAGACGGAGAAGTATATTCAACCATACTGCATAATTCAACCTAGTGAAACCGAATTATCAAAGTGCCATGACCGTGAAAAGCGCTCATCCACGCAATTGAAACGCGAGAACACAACTCTTTCCAGAATGACAGATAAAATTACCGCCAGCATTTTCCAAAACGAAAACTTGAATTTAAAAAAAGTATTTCCGAAAGACAGATTCATATTCACGGCCAAACAAAGCTGGAATAATACGGATTTCTTACAAGACAGCTTTTATACGCACTTTACTGAGCGTTGAAAAGTTTTATACTGCAGTTTGAAATTTGATAGCATCTTTGTGATTATGAGGACCACCCACTATTAATAAAATAAGTGAGTTCCAACGTACTTGTCACTGAGTGATCGAGAGTGACTTTTTGTACATCAATGAACTTTTGCGTACTCATCGTCTCACCGTATACCTGCCGAGACCTACAAAAAAAATACTATAATTTGTTCATCACTCTAAAGGACAGTTGCTCAATGGCGGCTGTGTCGCTAGCCTCCGCCACAGACGAAACTAAACTCTACATCTGGTTAAGTCCGTCTGCGAAACAACGCCGAATTCCTTATTCTGGGCCCCCACATGCATACCAGGATTTGAGTATTCGTCATTACTGGTCTGTTAATAAAGTTCAGGTCAAACTTTCCAAAAGCTGTTTAACTCAATTTAATAAATGGCCAGTATAGAAACGTAATAAAATACCAGTCGATGATTAATTGCATTCAGTTTATTATTTTGTTGTTTAACAATGACACTTAACAATATCAGCTCCCTTTGAAAAATACATACTAATACGTCTCAAATAGCACTACAGCAGTTTACAATCATTTCCTCTGGGGGCGAGTCTCTATTACTCGTCTCAGGTTTCAGATACAGCACGACCGTTTAGTGGTTGGGTGGGACGAAAGTTGTTGCAAAATGAGTGTTCTTCGTGATCAAGGAGACGCCTCATTAATTTCAACTAGAAGAAAACGTATAAATTTATCAGTAAAGACTTAGGGCCTGTTTACAAGGAGGTGGAAGACCCCAGCTAGGTGGGGTAACCCGCCTGTCCATTGAATCTCTCATTTTACTTTTGTCACGTTTACGTGATAGGTGGCGTGACCCACCACATCTGGGGTCCCCTACCTCCGTGTAAAGCAGGCCCTCGCTTCCTGTATCAGTTTTATTACCATAAATGTATTTTGATATCGTTATACAGCAGCAATGTGTGTAATCTGAACATAATTTTTCTTCGAATTGTTTTTCTTTTAATTTTTCCTTTAAATGTATTTCTTCATGCATATAACACATTCAAGGAAATATTAGTTTTAAAAGTTGCAATTGTAATGTAAGGTAACGTAATGATTCGATTTAGCACCCGGGGCGCTTATTTACTTTTGGTACCTCAAGGGAAGGCGCTTATTTCTTTTTTGAGAAAAAAGCGAATGTTCAAAACAAAATATTAACATTTATTTTTAAAAAAACAATGACAGAAACTGTAACAGTAACAAATATACGATGAATGTTCAGTTAACGTGGGAGAATTTTAATCTATTTCTACGCCGATAGCTTTGACAGTGTTACTTACGTCAATACCATTTCTGGTTCCACGTTCAGTTCGTTGATAGTGTAAAAAGGAGGTCGGTAGGCAACACACGACTTTTACCTCGTGCCAAAATCGGCTGCTTGTTCCAATAAATTTCTAGAATGGCACTTACTAGCATGGGACACTTAATGGAATAGGGGCGCTTATTAACAAAAACCAGAAACTCATAAGGGGTTGAAACGTGTAACTCGCGTTCAATGATCGGAATATTCACTTTCACTTTTACCATATTTGGAAACCTTAGTGATGGATATCCATTTTCAACAAAATGGCTGCAGCGCGATCACTATGCAGATGTTTTTAAGACAAGAGTTCTGTATTTCAAGGTTAAAAATACACCGTTAAAGACAAAAAATGGAAAGAGAGAGTTCAAAAGAATGCTCAGCTTTCTTTTTGTGGAGTATAGGAAGCTTTTCATAAAAAAGAAACGGCTTCTCTGCCTATTGTTTTGAGTTTGTTCATTCATAAAATTAGTTGAAAACACGATTGTGACTACAGCATCCAAGGTGAATTTAAGCTTGATGCTTCTCACATTCATTACGCGCATCACGTTTTGCGAAGATGTCAGGTTCAGGTTTTGGACACTTTTCGATACGCAGCTAATGAATTTCATTCGAAAATATTTTTACTGTTTATTCTGGACTTTTCCCATTAACGGTATAAGTTTACTGTACAGAGGGTCAACGAGGCATCGTTTTTTGAAAGTGACAATTTCAAAAAGTCGCGAGGACGTCATTGGGTTTCATAATGTTACGTTTGGCCCGGGTTGTAAGCCAAGGGATCCTGCTCAGTATTTCGGTAAGATTCCAAGTTTCAACCTTTGAAAGCTTTCTCGGCTTTCGGGAGTTTTTCCCCCGTTTGTTGGCCATTTTTTGTAAGCTGGCGCGGGAACGTAAAGTAAAATAATGTCACATTGTTTACGAAGTTTGATTGGTCAGTTATCTTTTCTTCTCTTTCCAAATATGGTACTTTCGAAAATGAATAATCACGAGCATCGGACAAAGCAAACATATGAGAGTTACACGTTTCAACCCCTTATGAGTTTCTGCAAAAACACTTTCGAAGGGAGGCGCTTATTCGAAAGGAGACGCTTATTGGAAGGGGGGCGCTAAATCGAATCATTTCGGTAACGAGATGCTACGAAAGTAATGTAACGTGTGTTAGGTATTAAACAAAAGTGGAATATAAAGAAAGACGATTGTATCTGGAGTATTTTAGTCGCAGCTCAATTTTATTTGTATTTAGTAATTCTAGAATCAGGGAAATTGGAAGTGCCAACTGATCTAGGTGAACTAAGTTCATAACCGTTTCATGCAGTCAGCTGACTAATATTACGCCTTTACGAAGTAAAATTTTTGCCTATAGCCATTGGTTGTAATATAAATGGATTTTATTACAACTAAACAAGCTTCTTACGTCTCTTTTTGTAGCGGCAATAGGGGTTTTCAATACGATCCACCTCACAGACTGGTAGCAGGGAGGTGTGGTCAGAGATCCCTTGTAGGAGTAGAAAGATGCCTTCGATAAATCTGACAACTCGGGAATCAGTTCGTAAAGAAATAGTCGTTTCACCTTTTTCGTCCCATCTGTGTGAGAAAGATTGAGAAATGTACGGCATAAGTACAATGGAACCTCTCCTTTGGGAGAGTTTGAGTGAACATTAATGACAATGACGACCGCTTTCACAACATGAACTACCTCATTTAAATTGATGCACTGCACTTATGGGAATTTAACACACAATATATGACCACAACAGTACGTGCGCTCTGACTGGCTGTTCTCTTGCAATAACCGGGCATTATTAGCTAGGTGTCCAAGGCATACACAATCGGTGTTAACTCGCTAGTGGACGTCCTTATGGACAGCCATGTTATGGTCAACTGACACCTGTCAAAGAAGGTATCCGCTGACCAGTGTCATTTGACTGTACAACTCATTGAGGTGACGTGTTTTTTAAAGTTATCTGCTGACCAGGTTTGAATTGATCGCAGGGTCAGGTCCATAATGAAAAGGCCATATAATTGCTGTGAAGCCACCAGGCTTCCCAGCAGACTAATAGACCACTTCCGAGTCCCAAAAACTCTCACTTTCAAAATGAGGTGAAGTGCACAACCTTTCTTGTGTAAATGAGTTTTATTTGCATAATTGAAAAATCATTTCCATATCAAAGGTTGAGCTCTTAACCTCGTTTTGATAGAGAGGCCCGGGGTAACTAGGAAATAGTCTATTCAGGCAGCGTGCGTGACCAGCCTGAGTTGTCTGTGCCCGAAGCTAGCCTCATTGTAAATATATATGTATATCACTGAATTTGCCTCGATTTCATGGCCCTCGAATCCAGAACATTTTGATCGCAGCCAATCGATTCAGAATTACACTTCCAAAGGAAAAGTAAATTGGTAGATACCACTCGACTGTCGATAAAGTGGGTTGTGGAAAACTAAAGCCCAGCAAGCGTGAGAGTCATGCCTTTTACAGAAGTACCGCTGACCGGTTCTGGTTTGACCACTTTTGTTTAGTCTCTTCTTTGGAATGACAAAATTTGTAAACAGCAAACTTAACGGAAAGCAAAGTGAAAAGAAATAATAGGCTGAGACACATGGTCCACTGTCCGGTTACCTAAAATTTGTAACAAAGTCATTGTAACGTGCCGGGCGACGGCGCTCACGGGTGGGCCTTCTGGGTGGGGGAACAGCATCAGAGTCGCTATCACTATCGAGGTGGGCTCCGTTTGAATCAGGGCGTGGCTGCAACTTGAAATACACTTCCGGGCAGGTAGGAGGGCTGTCTAGTCCGGGTAAATCCTGGGTTCGTGGAGTCGAGATCGCACTCGGTATCACTGGTGGGACTGGAGGCGCTGGACGTATTGGCAGGGTTTTGTCAGTGGAAGAGTCTGCATCGTCAAGGCAGATGGTTTGAGGTTTGTAAGTTCACACGGTCAAGAGGGAGCTGTTCATTCGAGAACTGGTCTCGTTGGGTCTACATCTCTCTTGCAGACAGACCGCGTGTGTGGATGCACTTAGGTTAGATGTGGTTACGACTAGTGACACGGGACCGCCTTGAGGCTCTTGCAGGAGCAGTTCATGTTCAAGTTCGCGTTTTTCCCTCTCTGCGACTGGGTTCTTGTTCAGGCTTTTGGCATCACCGATCTCTATAGAAATTCTTGGATGGTGGAGACGTTCATAGTTAACTAAGGCCTCGAATCTTGGGGCGGGATCAGTGCGTATAATTGCGTGTGAACCGTCCAATAGGCGTAGCTGGAGGTAGAGGCGGATAAGGGCATCCCTTAACGTATGCTGGCGTTCGTCTTCTAGTAAGATCGTGGAGGTGAAAGACGTCACATTTCCCTGGAGTACGAGCACAAGCTGCCTTAATATGAAGACATCAGCGGAAAAAGATACGCCTATGGCAGCAGGTTGGGGCTGAATGACTACTCTACACGGACTTTTGGAGTTTGAAGTAAGGCGGCGCAGTCGAAACAAGCCTGAGTTACACGGTTGATGGCTTTGTCCAAATATAAGGCGTATAGGTAACCGTATACAGACTGCCTCGAGTTGGTTACTGTATGGATGGTTTAGCTGGATGTCGAGAGCTGTTAGCGACCCATCTAGTACCTGTCGGGGTACAATAATGCATTTACGGCTGGGGACGAGGGGCTCGTCGCGTTTGACTACAAGTAGGCCGTCTCTTGCGATAGTAGCAGCGTTAAGATACCTCTTGACATCCTTTAAATTGTTGAGCTTTTTGGATAGACATGAACCTTGTTGAAGATGTGCACGAGTACGGTGTAAAACAACGCACTCGTTCTGTTAGTATGTTGTATGTTAGTATGTTCCGCAGGGACGAGCTCCAACATCAGAGTCCTGGGTTAGTTTCGTGAAGGCGCAAACCTCCAGGCATCGTCGTCACAGGGAGGGGCATTTCGACTGGCAAAGTCAGCAGGGAGAATAGCGGACCCCGAAATGTGTCGCACAAAGTCTTGATACCGGCTCACTGTTGAGAGGAAGGTTGAGACACGGGGACTGGTTGAGAACTCTCCGCGGCACAGTTTTTCGTAACACCGCAAACAGGGCTTACTGTCCGTTAGGACACAAGCTCTGTGATGTGACTGAATCAGGTACGGGCTGAAGTGTTTGGTGGAGACGGCGATAGCTAATGTCTCTATGTCGCACGGTAGCTACCTCGCCTGAGAACCTTGCAGTTTTTGGCACTTGAGAATCCTGCCAGATGCAACTTGCCAGCACAGGAGAGGTACAGGGTTGCAACTATGCCGGGCGTACGGACGGCTCCATCGGTCCATCGCAATAAAGTTCATCAGCGATCTTAGCAATGACGCCCTGTTCCAGCAAGTGACCGAGAACGCGGCACGGAAGTTCTTTCCAGTGCCGTTTCAGAACCTGGCATGTCCACGGCAGACCGCGCTCGGAAGGGTATAACCACTTCGCAATATTTAATTGAATCACGCGATCTTGTAGAGGGCGCTGGTCAGATCTGTCGCAATGATGTTTTCCACTGGGAAATGCGGCGTAAGGTGGAGTCCAATTCCGGCATGAGAGATGGTTGTGGTTTGCTATAGCGGCCAACATCAGCAAAGGCATTAACGGGGCACTGACCACCACTGGGCTATTTAACTAGGAATGACGGGTTGAGGTACTCTACTATGATATTAACGTCTTCCCGGCGCCTAAAGACACCAACGGCTTCGAGGTCATCAAATTTGTGCTGGAGTTCCAGCAGCTGGTTGCGGGCGTACTGTGGGAGAAGACCCTTGCGCTGTGGGGTTCCACCGGCCCCATGTCCACTTTAGCCTCGAACGGACCAGCTGCACCGTTGTAACCACTGTTATTTGGGTCGTACTCGTCAAGGAGGGAAGAGAACTTGGTTTTGATGTCGCGGGAAGTAGATTGGTGGGGTCGAGACGTACAGTGGAGGAGTGCTTTACCGCAACCTGTGGGGTGGAAGACCTGGTTGGGGGCTTGGCTAAAGCTGCGTTGTCGCTGTTCGCTTCAGGTGTGAAAACAGGGTGCACCTTGCAAAAGTGTTCATTCCGTTTAAGGAATTGTGGTTCGGATGGGAGGTTAGGGATACGAGTCTTTTATGTCTGGGTTGGGGCATAGTTGTGAGGCTGTTGAGGTTTTGACGCTAGGTGCATTCATCCGAATGGCGCGAATTTCCTCGAGTACAGAAGTGAGAGCCTGAGATATTTCTGCTTTTATTGAAGCCAGAGTTCGTGATCGTAGCTCAGTTCCATATCTTTGTTTTTTTGTTTTGTTTTTGTCTGGGCAAATCAGGGTAGATCCGCCTGAGCCAAGTGAGGACTATGAAATTCTCGTCTTCAGTAGCGACTTCACCACGGTGGGACAGTCTATTAGCGCGGAGTAATGTGTCTTCAACAAAGGCCATCAATCCCTTAAAGAGATCCTCAAGGCGCTCCTCGGCCTGAAGCTGTAAGTTCGCAAAATCCGAAAAATGAGCACCTGTGACTTGAAAGTCAAAATGTTCACGTATCGTGTTCCAAACTGACAGAATAGAATTTGAATTCTTCGCCAGAGTACTCCTAGATCTGAAGGGACAATAATTCGCTACATGTCCGAGCATGAGCTCCAAGAAATTAACCCTTTGCTAGGCGTTAGACGTTGGGCTTCCGGTACATACAAAGCCACGTAGGGGCTGGGCCTTAGTTTTCTTGCCCCAAGTAACGCCGTCCGCGAGAAATGGTGCAAAGTTGCTGTCAAGCGACAGCGCATACATCAAGTTTGGCTTCAATTTTCCAAGGTGTTGACAGTCTCAGACTTTGAAAGGCTCCACTGGTTCGGTAACTCTTGCTTTGTTTCTATTTTAAGGGTGGATTGTGCTTGGGCAACCAAGATGCTCGAAGAATCGACTTACCAACGTTTGGAACGGCGGCTGTGCCTTGTGTTCGACCTTTAGGTTTTCTGGACGTAGACTGGAGAGCGCTGCCACCACCCCAGAGGGGAAAGGATCGGTAGATCGATGACACGATACGTAACACAACCAAAGCTTTAATAACCAGGTAACACACGAGTTTTAACACGAGAGAGAAAACCGAAAAAAGCCCCGCGAGCATGAGAGTCATGCCTTTTACAGAAGTACCGCTGACCGGTACTAGCGAGGGGACACTGGCCTTGGTTCCGAGGGTGTCCCCTGAAAAGAGGTTTGACGGTATTTATGAGGCAGCTAATTAAGCTAAAATTACTAAAACTTCAAGTCGTCAGAAGAATATTTTTTTGGAAAAGATGAGAGAAAACCCTGTATAATAACTTGCGTAGTTCTTTTAGCCTGCTACCTTCGATGCATCGATAAGCCCGGTTTCATCTTAGCTTTGGTGGGTCTCCGGTCTCCGGTCTCCGGTCAGGGATTTGAAAGAAAGGCGTGGTTGGTGGTAAACTTTCAGAATCTTACCACATAAAATTATTGCAGTAATACCCAGAATTCACTTTGGCAAGATTAAGATAAAGGCCTGTTCTATTTTCCACCTACATTCAAGGCAAGTTCTGAATACCGCCGTTATTTTTATCGTTATATTCTTATTTTGTGATTAGTCTTACCAGCTTTTCGTATCTGGTGCATTTTTCTGGATAGCTTTTTCAACTCCTTATGCCTACCCGATCGATTAACCTGCATCAAAAGACAACAGAGAAAAAAAAACAAAGCAAAAGTTTGTAAAACTCTATAGAAATTTTATTGCTTCACTAACTGAAAGTAAATGAATAGAACAAGAGTGAATATTCAGAAGCTCATTAGGTTACTATGGCCCAGATCAAACGCTGTTCTTCACATGCACCGAACCTAATGCTAATAAGCAAGAACATTAAAATTTGCTGTAGGCCAAATGTGGAGTTAGACGCTTCACTTGGGCGTTAGTTTGTTCTTATTGCGCACTCCGATTCATACTGAATTCTGCAAAAGATGGTACAATCAATCCTTTTTCCATTTAATTAGTAAGTAAACAATCGTTTCAGTTATCGCTACCTCCAGGAATACACCAATAACAGATAATCCATCTTTCTTGTCAACGGCAGTTTGAAAATCCGTATATTTTGTGTTATATGTCACCAAGTGGAGCTGTAAAGGACAAAAATGCAGATCAGCTGTTTCAAGTTAAGGGACAGGTCATTTGCAAAGCTGCTTATTCTAAAATACGTTGCTCCTTACACTTTTTCGTATGCTTTCCTTCCTTCTCTTCTGATAAAGTTGTCGTTCTTTAATTAACAATTAATGAATGAGGCTGAGGATCTTATGGAGAATTATGGAGATCGAGGAGGGTGTTATTCGTCGAGGCCGCAAGCCGAGGCGGATAACACCCTCCGAGATCTCAATAATTCTTCATATGATACGAAAGCCGAATTCAATAATTGTTTTATTATTCATTCAAAATATTTCCTAGTTTAAAAACATAGCTAAAACACGCTTACCTGCATCGATGTTAAGTTTTTCTTGATAGTTTACGTTTAGGTTTGTCCAGCTTCGCAAATATTCTCCAAATAGCAGATGTCGCCTCCCAAGTTGTCTTCTCGATGTTTTTGCTATGTTTTTAGCCATTATTTCGCCTAGTTCCAGCTGTAGTTCTTACTCTTTTAAACGAGCGAAGTGTCCGCCATTTTAGTTTTTCCAACGAAAACAACTCAACCTCGACCCCCGGTCTTCTCGGTTAACGGTGCATTAACCTGTGGAAGGCTGCATTTTTGACGTCATTTCCTCGTTAAACACAAAATTCCTCCAAATTTGGTCATCAGTAACTGGTTATGGTAAATTATGCGTGTGCTTTTAGCCAATCAGAATTTGGGAAGCATTTTGAATGAATAATAATTTACTTTAAAAAGTTACACTTGCTGATGAACAAAATAGCCCGCCTCGAACTGATAGGAGAATGATGTTCACTCATTCTCTCTTAGAGTGTCAGCAATCTGTAAGCATTGAATTCTCTTGAACATTCTGAAAAACCCTGTCAAACTTCTTTCCTTCCCACCATTGGTCAAAGACACTTTGACCGCAGTGTTCATGCAATTTTCTGGTGGCTTAAAATTAGGTAAAACAACCGTATAGTCACCCCTTTATTAAACGATCATCCCGAATAGCCTAATGCGATCGGTTAATATAGGTCACATAGACTTGAAATTTGAAAGGCGGGTCGCGTTTTGGGATGCGACCGCTTAATTCAAGCTTCGTACACTTCTTTTAACGTAGAATTCAAGGACTTTTCAAGGACTCTCAAGGACTCTCAAGGACAACATTTTCAAATTTCATACATCTAATTAATGTCACAAAACTACGAGGGTAAGTTCTGGCATTTCATCATTTTAAGTGATCAGCTGATGCGAAACTCGACGAGGAAGAGCCGAAAACTTCGCAAAAATATCCTGAGGAATCGTCGAACCAATCAACTGCCAGTGAATCAGATCAGTAATAAATTTTCTCCCGAACGAGGCTAAATCATACATTATGAAGCAAATTTCAAATTTATTAGTTTCGTTCGTTGCATGTGAAGATCGACGTTTGTCCCGGAAACGATCTTCAGACGGATAAAACATGTTAAACGATCCAAACTCATTCAGACGAAATTAACTGAGCCAGACGTCGAACTTTTCCCGATCGTATACATAATTAACTTTTAGTTACTAAGTTTGGTTCGTCTCATGGGGAAAATCTCGACGGTTTTCCCTAGGCCTAAGCCGAAGTTCATTAAACTCACATGAGCCATTAGTGTCGTCTACTATGTGCATACGTGAAAAATGATGCAAAGGGCCTGGTAGCAGGCACGGCACAGGCCGTCCATGCATACTGACCTTCATTTCCTCAACGCCGGTTTTAATTCTGTTGGCTTCAAACTGGTATTTGGCTTATAAGGACCAAAATGAATGCAAGAGAATTCAAGGACTTCCAAGCCCTTGAAAAAGGACTCTAAAAATTCAACGGTTTTCAAGACGCGTAGAACCCTGTGAACGAGCACGAACCTTGAGTAAGGGTTTGACTATCAATACTGTTTTAATATTTTAGTTGAGAGCACTAGAATATACAAGGAAACGACAACTAATTTAAAAAAACTGTTTTTATGACCAGGTAGTCTAGATCTGTGATATCCAGCAAGCTTACAATACATACATACATACATACATAGCCTTTATTTTAACTCGAATTTTAGAGTATAGCTACACTGTATAGCTAACATCTTCGAGAAACAAATTATGATATCTAAAACAAAAAATACTCACACGAAATAAGACAAAAATTAGTGAAAACTAATCAAACGTATTGAGACGTATTGAGCACACGTCGCTTAAAATCATTAAAAGTACTGTTTGTTAATTCGTAGGGAAGATCGTTCCATCGCTGGACGGAAAAATAAGAAAAAGAGTGTAGTCCATAGGTTGTTGTTTTAGGCTTGCTTATAGTCAACATATGGGTACCGCACAAATTATAGGTTGTATGGCGAACAGTAAACATATCAATATTTAGAAATCCTCAATGCGCTTGTTATACAAAGTCATCTCAACATTGTTAAGCAAAGTGGTGTACTGAACTGCCTCCAGCTTTTCACTGTTGCGTGTTCCACAAAAATGCAACACTGAAGAACAATAATAAAAGTGTGGCAGAATGAATGCTTTGTACAACTTGAGCATCGTGTCCTTAAAGATGATATTGCGGAACCGTAACATTACATTAAATTGATTATTACAAACAGTAGATATGTGGTTGTCAAAATTAAGTCTATTATCTATAGTCATTCAGAAAATATTTAACTCGCATTTCACTGGAAAAAAGATTTTGTGGTCAGTTTGACCGATAATTAAAGCTTGGTGTTTCTTACAATCTTACAAGCGACTTCTCAATTCCAGTCGTTAGTATCCTCACCTCTCCTGAATACGCCCGACCATCCACAGTGTGCTCAGATCCTTGGTCGTTTTCACAGCCAAAGTGAAAGTGAAGTTGCTCAAGCTTAAACACACTATCGCCCAGGGGACCCCCTGTCAGTGATGCCGTGCCGTTGTCCTTGTCGATAGCAAACGTAGGGGCGTGACCATTATTGGTCAGTAATCCGCTTACTTTTCCATTCTTGTTGTCGCAAGTAAAGCTGAGCTCATTGAGAAATGGATTCTTCACAACTGTGCTTGTCGCAATATTTATGGGAGACTGGGCCTTCTTAGAGCAAACTTGAGAGACCTTATTCCAGTCTTCCGGACCAAAAGCTAGTAACAGAAAAAGAATAAAGTTTGCTTGTTCTGATTTGGGTCAGGAGCATCTAGTGAACTGCAGTAATTAAACACACGGTTCCTTGATCCTCTGTCTCGGCAAAACTAGACTCCTTATATTAAAGAGGACTACGCAATCCAAAAAATTATAAGTCATTTAACAAGACAATGAGAAGTAGTTACACTAGTGAAAAAAGAGATAACTAAAAGTACTAAATGTGGCAGTGTATCTATAGTTTCCCGAGGAAAATAAAGAATAGGAATCAAATTGAAAGCTTGGAAAAAACGAGTTTGTAGAGTAAGGTCGCCTGAACAACAATGAAATGTCGACAATTATCAAAAACAGTCTGACAAACAAACTTTGCTCACAGGAGATGAAAACAGACCTGTACGGAATGTGTGTAGTAGAGATGGTCATGGTGACAATCCGTGAAACAAACAACGTCCATTAAATTCAATCTCCGCCGAGGAAATGAACAGTCTTCATCACTTCCAGTTCTTTTAAAGTGTGGAGAAACTCAACATGGAACTAGTCTATAGAGACACGCTCGAGAGGTTTTTGTTAGGCTTCATTCATTATATATACTGCAGAGGGCAGAGGATATTTCAAAGCAGCAAAATTTTTTCAAAATTTTTTTGACATCGATTTCCCCTCCTGACAATGAAATGGTGCAGAGATTATTACAAAACTGAAACCAAGAGGTAACCAAAGGTTCACAGATTTTAGTATTTCTAGTGTAAATTGTTTAAATTAAAGAAACTTGTAAGAGATTAAGGCTAGATGTGCCTCACTGGGAAAAATTTGGGACCTACTGACTAGCAAAGAAAATCCCAAGTGAAAAAAAGACAAACAAAGAAAAACCCAGAAAAAAGGCAGATAAAAATGGCCTAATCAGTTAAGCAGAAAAAGAAAAGGGAATTGCAAGTCAGCCTACCTCTGAAGAAAGGTCCACATACTTAAAATTCAGTGAAAGAAAAATCTTTCCAAAAGGAGATGGAACTCAATTCACTATTTTTAAAAAGTAGGTTGAGTTTGATCGTCCTGGTGAACGTAGTCCTGAATAGGACTGTTGTTGTTGACAGTTACTGACGTTTCGACAACCTGTGCGGTAGTCATCTTCAGAGTCATGAAAGTGATTTGTATCACGTCAGTTGATGGTATTATACTCTGGTTATTGATCTGATTGGTCAATTATGTCGCGATGTTACTGGTCGTCTGTCAGCTAAGCCGTGATGTTATTGCCTATGAAGACTCGTAATCAGTAACTGGTGCGTTTCGATCCGTCTATTGTCACAGTTAAACAGTCGTCTATTGTTAGTCAAATTGTCAGTTCTCTAGTCGTTCTCTCGTAGCTAGTTTTGCTTTATCTCGTCAATAAGTCATTTGTTGGCGTTTGTTCTAAGTTAGTACACCAGCTTTCTAAAGTAAGACGTTGATAGCAGTCTGTAGAATACGTTATACATGTCGTAGAGTCCCAGTCAATTTGATGTTTCGTCTGTAAATGGTAGCTAAATGGTGCTCAGCAATGTGATTGTTGACGTCACTATTCCTCCTCGCTTGTTTGTGTTCGGTCAGTCACGTGCTCAGGTTTCTGCCGGTTTCACCAATGTAAGAAGCCTGGCAGTCGCAGCATTTGATCTTGTATACTGCTCCCTATCTGTCCTCCGGTTTGTCTTTGTCCTTGACATTAGTAAGAAATCGCCGTAAAGTGGTTATCGGTTTGTGTGCAACACGTATATTGTAAGGTTGTAATATACGTGCAATAGTTTCAGAGGTGCCTCTGATGTACGGTATAGTCGCTGTCGTAACAGGGCCAGAGTTGGTCTGAGTGTCGGAATCAGTGTTACTGTGAGTGTTCCGTCTAACAAAGTCCGTGTTGTAATTGTTCTTACTAAAAACGTTGTTAAGATAATCAGTCTCGTCATGTAGGCTGTCAGGTGAGTCGCAAAGTAGTTGCGCTCGTCTCGTCAGAGTCCGATAGTAGTAGACTTGTGAGAGGTCGGGTTGTACGAAGACTGGTCTAGTTATCGGTCGGTATGTGTCAGTTTTCTGTAAATAGTAGTTTTTAGTTTGTTATTGTCGCGAGTGACCAAGCAGTCTAGAAAAGGTATCTTACCATTTTCTTCGATCTCCTTGGTGAACTGTATGTCCGCGTTCTGTCTGTTAAGATGTTCGTGAAAAACGTCGATTCCGTCTTTGTGTACGGCGGTGAATGTGTCGTCAACGTAACGTAACCAAAGAGGTACAGTTCGCGTGTAGGTAGCTAGGGCTTGTTCCTCGATGTTTTGCGTGACAATTTCTGCTACAACAACAGAAACTGGAGCGCTCATAGCTGTACCGTGTAACTGTTTGTAGTGTTTGCCGTTGTACTGAAAGTACGTCGAAGTGAAACAGAGGTTGAGTAGGTCCATAATGTCGTCTGTAAGTAGTGGTATTTCAACAGTAGAGTTCTTAATAGCGTTCTCAGTACAGTCTAGGGCCAGTTCAAGTGGAATACTGGTGAACAGTGATTTCACGTCAAAGGACACTAGTTTGTGGTCGTCCGGTATCTGTATTGTCTTAATGGCGTCAATAAAGTTCTCAGACGACTGTTTAACTGTGACAATAGGCGGATCGAAACGCACTAATTACTGATTACGAGTCTTCATAGCCAATAACATCGCGGCTTAGCTGACAGACGACCAATAACATCGCGACATAATTGGCCAATCAGATCAATAACCAGAGTATAATACCATCAACTGACGTGATTCAACTTACTTTGTCTCTGAAGATGACTACCGCACAGGTTGTCGAAACCTCAGTCACTGTTTAACTGTGACAATAGACGGATCAAAACGCACCAATTACTGATTGCGAGTCTTCATAGCCAATAACATCGCGGCTTAGCTGACAGACGACCAATAACATCGCGACATAATTGACCAATCAGATCAATAACCAGAGTACAATACCATCAACCGACGTGATTAAACTCACTTTGACTCTGAAGATGACTACCGCACAGGTTGTCGAAACGTCAGTCTCTGTCAACAACAACAGTCCTATTCAGGACTACGTTCACCCGGACGATCAAACTCAATTACAACCTACTTTTGAAATGACTCCTGGGTTCAAACCTTTCACAGTTTCACTATGTTTAATTATTAAGCCCAACCTTCCAGCTAGAGCATTGCATCACCAAGAGAAAAAAAAATGAATATAATATTTGATGTTGAATTAAGGTAAATAAAAAAAACACTGCAAAAACCGTGTACGATCAATCTTGCTCAACGTCGGATTCAAAAAGATCGTGATCAATCAAAATAGATCAAATTGAAAACGTTACAGCCAAGAAGACTTTTGCAAGGACTGATCAAACAACGTGAAATAGAGTTTGGTTACGATATTTCGACTGGCCAACACCAGTCTTCATCAGGTTTATTGAGATATCACGAATTTACAGAAATATATATGAAGTAAAATAATGACCGGAAATTACATAATATGACGTGGTATGGTGTGGCTACTTTAAAAAGACAAGATAACAAAAAAAATACAAGATATACTATATATAGTTACAGTTCATCACGTTTATTGATGGCCAGAGGCTCAATAGACTTTTTTACCGATACGGCGGCCATATTGAATGAAAGAAGGAAATTGGGAGGGGGAGGGGAGAAAATATACTCTCTCTCCCCGCCCCCTCTCCGCTCCCTTTGACTCCTTCCATCTCCTCCTCTCTTCGGAAAGTTTCAACATGGCGCTTTCGCGAGCAAATTGCGCGCTCAAAGAAAACGCCTGCACTGCAGGCTAGGCCATGTTCCATATGGGGACAGGTGGTGCAATTCCTGTTGTTGCACCGAAAGGAACCGGGGGTGGGTCGGGAGTTACTGGTGTCGGTGCTGTTAGTGAACTGGGCTCTAACGAGGATGTCGCTAATATTTTTACAACGGCGATAAGCTACTAACGGAAGGTTTTTAAAAACATTTCTACAACGATCTGATGAGTACAGCACGTTAGAATGCTTGTGAACGATATGCGCAAGGCTGGGTAATGCTGGATTATAAGTAATGACGAAAGGGGTGGTTTCAGTCTGACAGCACATTAGAATGCTTGTCATATATGCATCGGGTCAAAATTTGCCTTTGGTCAAGTTTATTTTCCTTTTACCAGGTAATGGTAAGGACTATGTAAATGGTCTTTTGACTCAAACAAGCATATTCTCAACCAGTTACCGATTGTTGCTTAGTAGAAGGAAAGCTTCAGTCTACAGGAATTGTTCTTCATTGATATCATTTAATGATACCATCCCCCCTTTTCCTTAAAAAAATTTTAAGAACCCCCAAAAAAAAAAAATTCTCTCCCTTTTGGTATACATGATGAATGCAGCCTTAGCATTAATTCCGGTGAAGACTGGATGAGGTTTCAAGTCCGATGTTTACCAGGATCTACCAGTAGGTATTTGAAACTCTTTGAATGTGTGGGAGATTTTTCGTCTTTCTATTTTATCCACAACTGTTATTTCCTCCTTTTTCTTTTAATTTTTTTTTGGCTAAATTGTCTTGTAACTGAAAAGCCCTTTTAGGGAGTTGTAATAAAGTATGAATGCATGTATGTATACTATACACTCAACCGTCCAATAAGATATGTGTATGTTGAAGTCTTGGTACAAGATTAGGGGCTTCTGAAATCTGCAGATGGATAAATCTATGCTTCCTTTATTATTCCTAGGGTGCCTTTCACCACAGTTACTACTTTTGTTATTGTTTCATGCATTACTCAGTTAAACTACTTCTCGAGTCCACTAACTAATGATCATTTGTGAAGGACGCAAAATAAGGTGACAACCTATCGGTTTTCAAAGGCGCATAAACTCTAACTAGCTGTAAACTATCTAAGTAACTAAATCGCTAACTCTTGAGAAAATATTGCTTAAAACAAAGAAGCATGGATTTCCAATTAGTACGTACGTGACTCGATATTTGCAGACAGAATTAATAGCCGCGGAATTCTTTGCTAAGTTTTGAAAACTTTTCGCG